TTTATTTCGACGTGCATTACAGATGTTCACACGGTAAGTAAACGACTTTTTAATTGTTTATGTTGTATGTTAATAAGGGTTTGCACTACACCTCAGCTTATTGGTGTTTTTTTTAGTTTAGTTTTTAATTTTAGTTTTTACGTACTGAAATCTTAACCACTTTCATTTTTATTAATGTATGTAATGTTTATTACCTTGTATAGGAGGTAAAAGATATTTTCTTGTTATCAAACCGTGGTTGGACCAGGTCCACCAGCTCTGTAAACTTATGATTGCGTTATCATGGGTATGACTGGTTGAATAGAATAGAGGGTCGTCTTTAAAAAGGGTTATCTTGCTGTTTGGATCATGAAGCATATCATTGGTATAAATATTTACAAAATAAGTGAGCCTTTAGAGCCTTGAGAGACCCTTGCTTTTACTCTTGCTGATGGTGGACCTCACGTCGTTTGATTTAATTTGGAACTTGCGTTCCGATGGAAAAGATTTTATACAGATCGTTATCAGGGCTTGTTCTTGTATAGTACTGGGTTCTGGCCTTTCAAGTTGGCATTTTTCCAGCACTTTTCCAGTAGCCTCTTTGATTACATAACAGTGCATTAAATAATAATACATTGTTTTGCGGACAGTTCTATTTGTTTATTGATGAGCTTAAACGTACGCATATCAGTTTGTTTTTAAGATATATTTATAATAATTCAGTTAGAGAAGATTTCATCATGTTTATCGATGCTTTTGATGAAGTTTCGGTTTTACTCGAGGAATCTGAAGATAACGAGGAAAATTGAGAAATTGGTGAAAAAAATGAATTTCAATAACCGGAAAAGTACTTGGTAAAATTATTAACAAACAAAATAAATAGTATTAGTTTTGATTTTTAAAAAATTTGTGAGTATTAGAACTGATGAATGTAGCATGTAGCGTTATGGTATCAGAACTGAGCGAAGCTGTTAGTGAAATCCTTAAAGTAGCACCTAATGCCCGCGAATGCCCTTGTTATAATCACTAAATAATTTTATATCACAAACTTCACGCGTCAAAAGTATCAGACATTTTATTGGAATTATTATAATGATACAGTTTTTTTTTAATTATTAAAGAAATCGTATCATTTTTTTCTGCATCATTCAAAAGAACAGTTGTTTTAAGAATATATGTTGGTCATCAGTCGATTAGCTTATGTGAATCGAAATGGGTCGAATAAAGTGAAGGAGTAATGAATTTTATGCAAGATATGCATACAATTATTGATGTATTCTAAGAAATTACATCATGGAAAGTTATGAAGACTTCTGGAAAAGTTAAATCTCTAGCAGTATTAAACAGTATAAGACAGTGATACTATTATTTTATTTTGTAGTTTTTACTTATGCTTAACTACACTCTACCACGAAGTAAAAGAAAATTCTAAGGAATTGTTTAAGACAAACGAATCGTTCAAATTATTCAGCCTTATTTTTTACAGAAGAATATAACTAACTATTTATTTGAATTTTATTATTTGATAATGTCATTAATGATCTAAAAACATGTTTTACAGAATAAAACACTCAAATGCTTCAATATTTCACGTATATTTTTTTGCAAGCTAATAAATGAAAATACAACTTCATATACATTAAATAAATCAAACATTATACCTATTTTTTTTATTAAATAAACAAGGAATATTTACAATACGAGTATGTAGAATTTAAAAAATAAGTAAATTAAGTAATTAAAGAACAATATTTACATGACATAAATAATTTTAAAGAGGGAGGTTGTCCAGTGACAGGGCCCTCAAGAGTTGAATATTAAATATTCAAAAGACAAACTTAAGCTCTATCAAAATATTTTTTTTTTGTGTATACACATACTACTATACTGTAGTAAACTACATGTACTATATACATATAATAGAATTATTAAATAATATAAAATGTGCTTCCCCCCTTAATAATTACTCTGGATCCGCACTTGAGTTGTGTCTCGTTTACTACTATCAAAGATCGCAAATTAATAAGACATTTTTCGTCACAACAACTCACGTCTTAACCTTTATTTTATTTATTTTTTATTTTTTTTTTCATTCGTAATTTATGTGTCATAATATGATAATCACGTTAAATTATTGCGCTTATCTCGAAAGCATTTCTCGTTTGCGCACAAGATATGAAGATTTTAAGTTGTTCAATTGTCACGCAGTCGGCCCCACCGATTAACATCTCTAATTTCTCCGCCTTCACAAAGGAGTTAACAAGGTTAACCTGGCCAAACGCATTTACCTGTTAGTCAGTCAACTACCTCATTTCTTATTGTACACGCCAAGAGCGCACTATTATGAACCATCTCGGGGATACTGGAGTTTGTTTTCATACGTATCAACCTAGCGTTTATCGCTCATTCAGAGTTCTAATAAGAAATCTCCACCATTTCACATTGTGAAATTTCTGATGCGTTGTCAGAAGAAGGACAATCCGTACAAAAGTTATTAATGTCAAAAATAAAAATAAACTCGGTCTGCCACTATTTTTTGTTGATTTAAATAGTCAGGATAACAATAATGACATTTTTAATATAATTTCGAAACATAACGCTGTAGTCAAAATTGAGAAACCCCATCATTTTCGTCGTGATCCACCATAGACTTATAATTGTCAAGGCTACAGCCATACTGATAATTACTGTCACCATGAATCAAAATGCGTCAAATACGGTGAAGTCCATTGCACTGAAGATTGCTCAAAAGACCGAAATACTCAAGCCAAAAAAAAAAAAAAAAAAATGGAAAGATTTTCCAATTCCTTTTATGATAATTAGCATTATTAATATTATTATTTTTAGAATTGTTCAAATTCTTTTAGTATAGTGATCATTGTATTTTATCAGTGAAATTGTCATTTTTCCCGTTAAAGAAACCCCAATTTTAATAAAAATTATTTATACAATATTTTTATTGTTCACTGGTCTCAACAATATTTGATAATTTATTTTTGTCAATTAAACTTTTGGCGAAAACAAAATTTAGAAAATTGAGATGTACTCGTAAATGAAAATAATTTATTTCCTCTCTTCTCGAGTACAATAAATATGATGCAGAGGCTAAAAGAAAGAAGTTTTGAAGTCTACTGTTATTCGAGTCAACGATAGTCATCGAAAATAATTTGAATATAAGTTATTCCTTCAACAATATCGTAGTTATAATGTCAGCTTTCAATTTAGAGATTAAGTATTTGTTGCGGACGAACTCGAGGTATTTCGTCCGTGTCACAAGACGCTGTACATTTAAGATACTTCTTAAAATTGGCCACTCGTAAGATGAAATCAACGTGAGAGCTTATGTCATTGTTTTTCAAACTGTTATTAACAATCGGTGAACAATGGAAGACGTCTTTCGTCGGGATTCATTTTTAATATATCGCACCCGGGTCAAGTCTAATGAAAGTATCAAATATCCATAATTTCGATTTTCGTCTCCGAAATCGTAGCTGACGGCAGTTTTTATTCTGTTTATAATTCACAACGGTATCAGTAATATATTAAAAATGCGCGATAAACAACACTGAACGTGTGACGGGAGCACTATAGTGGCCGTCACAGACCAATTAATTTAAATTTCTGTTGTCACGGACGTAATGCACTAGTAGAATTTATGCAAACCCTTCCCTCTACTACCGGTATAGCCGGACCGAGGACCGTATTTTGTACGCCAACGCACGAAATACTTTTATACTTCGCAGGAATCATCAGAAATTCATTGGTTCGTTGGGTAGGAAGAAGGGAGAGGAACTTATATAGGAATTATTTTAAGATGTGTTATTAGAGTACACTAGAAGCACTATAAAGTATATACCAGGGATGGGAAACTGGCTTATTTTTTTATCTGGCCCGTGCTACATTTTCAAATCCCGTTGATCGTAAAATGTAGATATTATATTCCTATCTAGCAATGAAATACAGCAGGGGCGTAATTATGACGGGACATGAAGGATAGATCCCCCCCTCCCGTGAACTGTATTTATATATTGTCTTATATCTGGAAATATTTCAAACACAAACTTGAAAATTATTACGAAACTAAGAAAAAATAAAATGCTTAGCTGTATTAGTATGGCTAATAAATATTTACTCGTTAAGAGATAAGCATGAGTTCAAAATAAATGATCTGTTCTACTTTAATTCTTATTTATCAATAAACACTGGGTGTCCGGCTACACACTGTATCTAATTACAGTACTATCAATATTTACATATCGTAGAACGAATGGTAACTACGAACGCGCTCCGACACATTGATTATCGCGACTTCATTATTTTATGTATTCACATGTAATACACTACACATCGTGCCATTCTCGACTCTCACATAGTCACACTACATAGTAATTGATTCAATTTTTATAAGCCAAAATAAAAATGGAACAAAAAAAAAAAAAAAAAAAAAATTACCACCTACTGAACGTACTCTGTTTGGGCCGGGTGCTACAAATAATATGCCGCACTCCCGGACACCGACTTGTGCGTGTCGCACACTACCGACCGATTTGTGGAATGTAAAATATGTATATTGGTGTATAGCTCAACTAGAATTGGTTGGGTTCAACGCGCAAATACTAGTGAGCTATGTGTTATAGTGGTGTGTAGGTGTATATACATGTTAGTGTGTGTATGCTTTTAACTAATGAAAAATAGGTAACTCAGATAAACGGTAAAGATATGATATAATAAACAATATAATTAATAAATTACGGCCCTTTTTGGCCCAACAATAATAATAAAAATAGTGGCGATTAGCGCACACAATATAAATAACTAAAGTAATACAATTGCCTATTGGCTCAACAAATATAAATAATATAAAAATAATGTACGGCCCTTCTGGCACAACAATATAGATAATATAAAAATAATGTACGGCCCTTATGACCAAAACAAATATAATAATAATAAAACTATGCGGCCCTTTTGACCTTACAACTAAATTATTGTAAACAATAAAAAATATAACAATAACTCACGGTTTGTGAAGCGTAGACTGACCAGCTGGTCTTCCTAAGCTATACAATAAAAAATGACAATAAAAATTGATACAAAAACATAAAAGGAGAACGAATATAATAAAAATACAATAATTTCGACATACACGCGGTCACTCAGACGTACGCTCAAAGACAAAGTTGCGGCGGCCGTGTTAAAATACGCGCACACGAGCTGGCGACGCAGATAACGCGCCGATAACCGATAAGGCGTTGGGATTTAATTAATTTAAATAATTCACACACAATAACAAAAATAAATAAACTATAATACAGATAATTGTGCGTGTGTCCGACCGCGGTGATATGTACGGTTCGTTGACTGTTTGTTACGGCGGCAACATACTCTATTGGATTTTTAAATAGAAAACTGGACATGACTTAAGTATAACAATTTTAAATTATTCAAAATACTAAACATTATTAGGCTCAGAATTAAATGTTTTAAAATCGTACAAAATATGAATGTATTTTGTACACTTATTAGTATGGGTGGTTGAGAAAAAAACAGCTACTTGTAAACAGTGGTGACTTTTTTAAATTTTTTCAAGGGGGGGAGTATTTTTACATTATCTTATAAACACGAATTATAAAACATCGTAATTTCAAGGAAAATAATATAAATACCTATATAGGCAATAGCTGTCACAAACATTCAAATCTATGGATATACTGTTAAAATAACTAGATTTATAAATAAGCGTATAAGCGTATATTCACACTTGAAATATAATATATCACAACTTAAACGCGTAACCTGGGAGAGGTCAAGATCCCCTGCACTCCCCCCCTCGTAAAACCACCACTGCTTGTAAATAATAACTATTTAAAAATTAAAAATGTATAGAAATATTTTTATTTGAGTTGAAAATATGCTTTTAGAATGTCATACAAATTAATTTTGATACCCGCCCACCATGAAACATTCTTAATTACGCCACTGAAATGCAGCTAAATTATTGAATTTTTAAGTTTAAATTTCTAGCTTCAGTAATATTTCTATAATATATATATCCATATCGGCATCGCCATTATAGCTATATGTATGGTATTGATGACTTATTTTATTATATTAGTTCAGAATTTAATCGCATAAAATAAAAGCCAATTGTCAATTTTAACGAATATTTTTCTTTTTTTTCGCTTTATTCATTCCGAACCGTCAGGTTTTAAAGTTCTATAAATTGGTCGTCTAGTCCCTGGTATGTAGTATTCGAGCAACCTACACGTCATCAAGAAATGTTCGTGGATTATATTATGTTTTATCAATCAAAATTTCGTCACGGGCGGTGGTGCAAATCTTTGAAAACCCCGTTGGGAAACGTGGCGGAAAGTTAATTGGATGGTTGATCGGGTTGCTTTTGTGATTTAGTGTTATCGTCGTATGTGCTTCACATTCGTTTGATGAAATGTCTATGCCAACGGTTCCCAAAGTGTGCGCCGCGTCGTCATGGAATAATATCTGTTCAAAAATTTTCCTTATGATTAGTCATGCTATGATTTGGGGAAGGGCGACCTGAAAAAAACCTTAGATCAAAAATGACGCCATGAGTCGAATAAGTTTGGGAAACACTGGTCTATGCACTATTAGAGTATAAAATTATTAATAAAGTCGAGATCTCTTGTCGATGAGAACCATTTCGTTTTAGCGAAGTGTTATGTACATCGCATGTTCATTATGCCGTCGTTACCTTAAATAAACAATTAAAAATTAGTACACTAATGATAAATTAAACATGTTGATATTTGTGGTTTTATAATAAACGTTTGAAATGACGAATGAAACGCGAATCCATCGTTTTGAATAGAGTATGTGCGTTTGAATTACCTTTATGTATAATTTACATATGAATCTTCGATCAACTGTTAATAATTGACTGTATGCAGTAGCGTATTTTCAGGTAGGTCGTGGGGGATTCCCGGGTCTTATTCGTCCTGAAGAAAAAAAAAGATTCAAATCATAAATTACTTGCTACAAAAGAGAAAGAGAATATTAATTGATAAATTATGATTGTAAATAATTCTCGATTTGTATTTATAAGAATAATAGAATAATATAATTATTAATTCGTACTACATTTGTACTTTTTATAATACTATAAGAATCACTAATTTTTTTTAGAAAAACTAAAATTCCCCCCCTCACAAAAAAATTTGGAAAACGTCACTGACTGTATGGTAAACTTCAAACCAGCGAATTGATACAAGATTAATTATTTAACGTGTGTATTTACATGGTTGTTGACAATTTACCACGATATTGTATAAAACTGAATGAAACTGAATGGATTGTTATGCGTTTTGAAAAATGTTTTACAAAATAAGATAACAATCAAAGTGTTTGAAATAATTATTTCGAACCAGCTGTAAGACTGTAAAATGTCTTATTGTACGTCCAAAGAACGTAAACAATTTTTCACGCGTATTTTAAAATATACCTAATAGAAGTCCTATTTTGTCATAACAACAATTTGTTGTTTGAATGGTTTCTCTCACATAGTCAATTATAATTCGAAAACATTTTGTATTTCACAACACAGTTGGACCACTGAAAAAGTTGTGAAATTAGTCATTAAACATTTACTTAAGTTTATTGTGTATACCATACAATACTTACACTTAAGTATAACGAATACAAAAGAATTTCATGCGTACTCCGAAACGTCCAGTAGTTTTGACAGCAAAGCGGTTGTACTAAAAAGATGTTCCATGTTCAAACATGTTGGCGAATAGGCATATGAATGCGCCGCAGTATAATAATAATATCATTTAAGGTCACTGTTATTAAGTGTCAGTTCACTTTCATCTTAGGCAAGTAATATCCATGCAAATACTTGGAGCTATCTACAAGTTTGGTTATGTGCACACGTAGAAGTGCTTTGAAAACACCGGTAGTTCAGTGCTACTACGACTGCTACGTATACGTATGAATAATGACACGAGAGTTATTAATTTATGTTCTAATATTCGACGACGAACATTCTTACCGAATATACTTTTTCGTCGAAACAACTGGTGAATATTTTGATGGGAATCACGTACGTTTCTAACATTAGAATTTATATTTTTTCAAAATCGAATAAACACATTTATCCATGAAATTTTTGAATTTTTATATTTTTATATTCCATGTCATCGTTTAGTATTTTATCACGTGATCCCGTAACCGATGGATAAACGAAAATTCATATATTGTTTGTAATCATAACCGATGGATAAACAGCCTGTTAAATTTTTCATGATTCGTATATAGACGAGCGTAATTACGAATTATTTTTCATTTGCGCTGTCAACTTAGAGCCAGCGAAGTGCAGTGATTCGGATCTTTGCGCAATGCGAAAATGCTTGCGGTGACCGCTCTTCTTCTTATATGATGGAGGTATGTCACAATTTTACATCTTAATAACTTTTTTAGTAATAAGTGATAATGACAGTTTTTAAAGAAAATCATAAAAATAATCGGATACAATAGGACGTATAGCTTTGTAGTAGAGCTCTTAGTACACATGTCACATGAAATACGGGTTTGTTCGAAATATAGATCAGTTTTTGTAAAGATAAAATTAATAGTTTCGTGCGAGTACTTGAAGTTATAACGAAATATTATTTGTACAGAATTAAGATAATGTTATACGTTTTTATTTTGAATTTGACGCGCTACACATAAATTCTGTGAATTCACATGTATTAAGAATTCTACTTTCTAGAAAAAGTTCTCGCACAAAGTTTTTTACTTCGAGCAGTTACTTACACTTCTTAGATTATTACTGTATTCGTGTGCGCGTCGATAAATTGTCGTGAACAAATAAATTTTTTTTTTCTTTAACCCAGTGCGTATAATATACATATATATTTATATATTTTATTTAAAAGAATACTTACAATCAGTAAACGACAATTTGCACAATAAGTGAATTTGATGACACAAGTACCTAATAAATAATGAATAGATGAAGACGTGAGAGAGGAAGCAACCCATATACGTACTTCTGATGTGTACTGTGTTTTATCTTTCGATTTTTATTATTATTAATTTTTATTTTTTTTTGGAAATGATGTATTGTAAGAATTGTATTGAAGCGTCAATTGATCAACAATATATGTTTAAGTCGAAAGAAATAGGCCAATAACAATAGAACTACGGGATAAGACAGATAATTATGGAATACTCGTGATAACCATGTAGAACTAAGCATCACTACTAGACAGGGGCGGATTGGTAATTATTTTCGGCCCAGGAAATATGAAACAAACCGGCCCATGAATCGTAAATTTAACTATTTTAGTCTTCCCTCCTCCCAAAAAATTCTATAATTTGCATCAATTTCAAAATTTGTTTAGTTTCACCCCAAAATTAGTAAAATCTTCAATAACTTTAGTATGATTATAGCTATAATAGTTTTGGGTAAGTTACATGATTAATCAGTTCCAACTTGAACTTGAAGTTTGATCTTAATGCATCTTTAAATATATATTTATTTTTCTAATGGTTTTTATTTATTTTACAAAATAAAACATTTTTGGGAATTATATAATAATATAGAGCGGCCCAAACAAGGACCGGCCCATCAGGTAGATTCCCGATTTCCCGATAGGCCGATCCGCCCCTGCTACTAGGTAATCATAATCACATGATAACGGTTATTAACCAAAATCCGTCAAAAAAAGTCTTAGCAAAATATCCTACATGTTACGGTACTATTTTGATGTTGTGGTCTATTTGTGTTACTGCTGTTGGGAATTCGAATACTTGTCTACTACACCGTAGTTATTTTCGCATTATCTAATCACTAAAATAAACATTTATTCCGAACATATTACATATTACTCCGTTGCTCGTTATAAATTCGTCGGAGTTGAATTGAAACAATCAGGTAGAGATTAGCTCATTGCTAATATTATTTCTTAACAAACCGTGACTGATCAATAAAGAAGATAGAAAACCTTTGGTTTTTTAAACGATACGAAATACAACATGTTTTCGCGGTTTGTCACCGAACGGTCGCGGTCGATCCTATTCGTGATGTCTTGCAGTTTTTGTCCGTACATAATTTGTGCTAAACGAATTATCACTTAAATCAATGGCACACATGTCTAATTTGAACGCTGTAGCATCAAGATTTCTTTTTCGGGACCTTCTCACCCATATCCTTTTCGACTATAGCAGTCGATGGTCTACATTTGCCCTTCAGATATATGTACATGGGTGAATTATTTGTTTATAAATTCTATTTTCGAGCATAATACAACTATTATTCTATAACAAAATTATTACCAATGTTTGATATTAATATTTTAATTCATTAGTAACCCATTTATCTTTAGTCGTGATTCAAATGGTGTAGCCCACGCTAAACTTAGCGCTATTAACTTTCACGGTGTTCCATATAAATGTTGCTGCTTGTTATTCGGACATAGTTTTGTATTGTATTTTAATAGATTAAATTTATTATCAGTTTTATTATTCAGTTATCAGTTGGCACTCGTTGCAAACGGACGTTAAACGGTTACGTTATCTTTTGAACTTTTACCTGTGATTTTATTGTGCTTAATGTTATAAACTTTATTTTGTCATAATGTTGCTGTGTGATGTATGCAATGAGGAAATATTTGACAATGAAGACATCAAATGTAATAAGTGCAAAATTTTTTTCCACTTTGTTTGTGCTGGTTTTAGGGAATCTAATTTCCGGAAATTAAGTGCTGCTAACAAAAGTAAATGGTTCTGTATGAATTGCAAAGATAGTTCCTCTACTTTAAATGTTGAAACCAACAAAGAAATAAAACTGTCAATAGACAAAGAATGTTCTCACACGGATAAAATATTAATGGACTTGAAAGAATCTGTTAATTTTATGAGTGGGCAATTTGACAATTTTAATTTAAAATTGCAAGACATAATCAAAGTTGTTAATGATGTTAGTAAGGAAAATAAACAACTAAAGGAAGAAAATCAAAAGCTAAAAATTGAAATGAGAGATTGTAACAAAAAAATAAACTACATCGAACAAAAATTGGTTCAGAATCATATAGAAATAATTGGTGTCCCAGAAGAAACTAATGAAGACTGCAGTAAAATAGTAAAAGAAATTTCAACGGCTTTAGGAGTTAATGTATGTGTAGAAAGTGCGTTTCGTTATCAGTCAAAAATACGAAATAAACATGGAAAAATTGTAGCGGTCCTGAAGAATTACGAAAATAAAAAAACCATAATGGATATGTCAAGAATAAAAAAACTTAAAGCAAATAACGTCAATGCGAAATGGAAAGAGGAAGGTATTTACATTAATAATTATCTAACACAAATAAATAGAAACTTATTCTATAAAACTAGATTATATGCTAAGGAAAATAACTACAAATATGTTTGGTATAGAGATTGTAAAATATTTATAAGAAAAGATGAAAAAAACAAGGTTATATTAATAGAAGATGAAAATAGTTTACGAAGATTGTAAATGTAATAAATTCTGTTAATATATTCATAATCAACTGTTTTAATTTTAATTGTAACTGCCTTTATTTTAAAATGAATGTTATAGATATAATTGATAAAAATTGTTTATATAATACTAATTATTTTTTTTCAATAACAGAATTTATAAAAAAATATAATATATGTATTAATCAATCAGTTTTAATGATAAGTGTTAACATTAGAAGTATAAATGCTAATTTAGATGAGCTACTGTTATTTTTGAAAAATGATTCATATTTTAATTTAGACTTAATTGTATTAACGGAAACATGGCATAATCCGGAAAATTGTAATTATAATATTCCTGGGTATAATATATTTTACTCGACAAAAAAAAGAAACCAAAATGATGGAATCATTATCTTTGCAAAACAACATCTAGTTATTGGTGTTCATGAACTCGATTTTTGTGAAGCTAATATTATTAAATTATCTATTAGCAATTATATTTTTCCGATTAATATAATTTGTATATATAGGTCGCCTTCAGGAAGTATTAATTCGTTTTTGACTTGTTTAGAAGAAATAATAATGTTAGATAAAGCTAATCATGATAATATAATGACCATCTTATTAGGTGATACTAATATAAATATTGCTGGAAATAATAATGTTGATAATAATTACCTAGACTTGTTATCTTTAAATGGTTTTAGTTCTCTTATAAATATATTTACGAGAGTACCAGGTAATAGTATTAGCTCTTGTATCGACCATATATTTATTAAATTCAATGATAATAATAATATTAATAATAATAACAATGATTGCAGTGATAATATTAAAGCTGGAGTAATCCAAACAGATTTTTCTGATCATTATACCACTATTATTTCTATTCCATCTATAATTAATCGAGATCAACAAAATTTAGCTACATTTGAGAAAATAAATTATAAAAAAATTAAGGATACACTAAATGTTGAAAACTGGTCTGACTTATATAATACCTGTGACGTAAACGAGGCACTAGATATTTTATATGATCGTATTTCTAAATCAATCAATAGTTCTAAGAGTATTAAAATCATAAATTCTAAATCGAAACGTTTAAAAAAATTGGATGACTACAGGAATATTATGCTCAGTTAGAAAAAAACAATACTTATCTTTAAAAACAAAAAAACATCCTAACAATAATACTTTAAGTAACTATTACAAGAAGTATAAAAATAAGCTAAATCAGATTATTAAGATTGCTAAAACTAATTATTATAAAGATCTCTTTCAAAATGTTTCCGGTGATCCCAAAAACACTTGGAAACTAATAAAAAAATTAACCAACAAATCAAATAATAACAATGAAATAATAAAGCGTTTAAACTTTGCTGGTGAATGCATTGATGCACAGAAAGAACCAGAAAATGTATCTAATAAATTAAATACGTATTTTTCAAATATTGGCCAAAATTTAGCTGAAAATATAAAAGAAACTTCTGACCAAGATAACAATGATACATATACAAACTTAGATTTTGATAAATTTTTCTTAAACAAAATAGAATCGTCTGAAGTTATGAATATAATAAATAATTTTAAAGAGGATAAAGCCTCCGGATATGATAAAATTAGCGTTAAATTATTAAAAAAACATAGCACCATATATAATTAACCCTTTAACTCATATTTTTAATTCAAGTATTCAACAGGGTATTTTTTCCTAACAAACTCAAATTAGCTATTATAAAACCACTACATAAAGGAGGCGATAAAGAAAACCCGAACAATTATAGACCAATTTCGATGTTGAATAATTTTTCAAAAATTTTTGAAAAAAATTATTAAATTGCGTTTAATAAATTATCTTGAAAACAACAACCTTTTATCAATAAATCAATTTGGTTTTAGGCCTGGAAAAAGTACAGTAGATGCCTTATATACAGTTACACAATTTCTATCAAAAGCACTTGACAAAGGAGAGAAAACATTAGGTATTTTTTTGGACTTAGCCAAAGCTTTTGACACCGTTGATCATAATTTATTATGTAAGACTCTCAATAGTTTTGGTATTACGGGCGTCTGTTTAAGATGGTTTATAAGTTACCTAGATAAGAGGAAACAATTTACGAATATAAATGGTATATTAGGTCGTGAAAATGAAGTTATATATGGTGTTCCCCAAGGAAGTGTGTTAGGCCCTATACTTTTCATCATATATATAAATAGTCTTTGTAATATGAAACTCGACGGGAAAATTGTTGTATATGCGGATGACACTTGTTTGTTGTTCTCGGGTTGTAACTGGGAAGATCTAAGACTGAAGACTGAATGTAATTTTAATAAAGTAATTAAATGGTTAAATAATAAAAAAATTAACTTTAAATTTCAACAAAACAAATTTTATAATTTTCTCTATAAACAAAACTTTACCACCATTTAATGAAATATCAACTCATAGTTGTTCAAATAAAACAAACTGTAATTGCCCGAAAATTAGTATAGCTAAAAAAACGAAATATTTAGGAATCATACTGGACTGCAATCTTAGGTGGAATTTTCATGTAAATAATTTAATAATTAAACTGCGATCTATTATATTCAAATTTCATAAACTAAAATATATAATTTCATTTCACACATTAAGAATAGTGTACATCTCTTTATATCAATCGATATTGCAATATGGTATTGAAATTTGGGGGGGTGCTTCAAAAAATGTGCTAAACAAATTAAGAATTCAACAAAATACTATTATCCGTATATGTTTAAAAAAAAGATAATCGCATTGGATCCACATTTTCCAACTACAAAGAATTTAATGTCCTCCCACTTGAACTGCTATACAAGAAATACGCAATTATGTTTGTTTATAAAAATTCTAGTTTTTTCTTTACCTCACAACCTGATAAAAGATTTCCATCAAGGGAAAACCGGTTATATGATATTAAAGTGATAGCTTCAAATACAAGTTTTGGTCAGAAATTCATTAACTATTTGGGTCCTGTAAACTTTAATTCATTACCCAATCTGATTAAATCATATGTTAACAATAAAAATAAGTTTAAAGCATGTCTAAGTTCATTTTTGTGTGAAGAAATAATTGCAGGTATATAATTATTTTATAGACTATAATTATCACAAAATATATTTAGTACTTGTATTCTTATTTTATTTACTTATTTTTTTTATTTTTTTCCTTAGTTTATAATTTATAATGTATAACTTTATGTATAATAATCTCACTATGAATTAATCTACAATTGTAAGCAGTAATAGTTTAGTTTATTTACAAAACTTTGTTATATTATTTAATTTATGTGTATGTATTTAATAACTCCCTACACCACCACAAGCTTGCTTAAAGGTGTAGGTAATTTGTTATTTTTAGTTAATACTTTTTTGTATTGTGTTATCTTTAATAATAAATACATTTTCAAAAAAAAAAAAAAAAAAAAAAATTATCTGTTCGTGTTGGTTGCAACTTTTGATCGTAATTTGTGATGAGTTAATGGTTGTTGAATTCAACTCGAAACAAATTAATTTGGTTGACATGTCACGCGTTGCTTGAACTGGCTCGATTGGATTGTTTATGTATCTGCGTTTTTTTTATCGGTAACGTATATACGTATCGATACGCGGTGAGTAAATTAAAATAAAATAGTCGTATTGTACGTAGATCAATGATTGTGTCAAACGAGAAAATATATGTGACTTATAACATAATCAACCGCCAGTACGGCGTCGCGTAATGCGCTAAACTTAATAGTTGTAAGCGATAATTGTTAGATAGTTATATACTTGTTTTTTCGCATTTATAGAATATTGTGTTTTTATTATTTACTATTATGTTAAGCATCTTCTCGTATTATAAATTGTTCTATAATCACTTGTGCAACAACTACACATACCGTACACTATGTGCAACAACTGATTGCAACGTGTCCGGTTTCCTTATGCATTTTTAGTGCAGTTCGATTTTATAATCAGAACTACGTTTTCGTTTTATCACAGGATTACCTATATCGGTTCACGTCATCAACGAATCCTTCTTAAAACTTCCATATCGACTACTAGCATCACGAGCCGGTTAGTTTTTGCAGAATTTAAGAAACGAATAAAGATGACCTTCCGGAAAAAAAAAAATTACGTTTTTTCAACTATTCGTTAAGAATTTGTTCCAATCAAAGTTAATACGCAGTGTATACGTTTTGCAAATATTTGTTGGTATTGGTTTTCTCCACTTCTGGTACACGCGTAAGCACAACAAAATTGTGTACAGTTAACTGTTTTTGTTTGTTATTGACAACGACTCGTTAATATTTTCTGGACATTGTACGATGTAACTGCAATGTTAGTATTTCGATCGGAAAACATACTGTGTCAGCTGACCGATTTTCAAACAGCTAAACCACTATAAAGCGGACGTCTGAGATGGAATTCAAGTCGTGCGCTACCGGGAGGATTATTTTCATCTCAAAATTGTCTGCATAGTAAAAAAAAAAAAAATAAAAAAAATTACTAGTGATGTACCTAATACTAAAATTTTTTTTTCGCGAAATAAAATCGGTATGCAAGAGATAACGGCCACAAAAAAATCGCGGTCAAAGATTTTCCTATTATCTCGCAGTCCTTCCGATAAAAAATGAACTGATCAAAACGGACAGTTTTTGATTTAAAAATTTAATTTTTCTAATCGTCCAATTAAGTATATGCGAATTTAAAGCAGCGATGTCTAATTCTTCTCCCTCGTCGGACCATTTTGGTTTACTATTTTCTTCGAGCAGGCCACCAAGTATAAAAGTACGAATAATGTCAATATCAATCTAATAATACAATTTTGTTACACATAATAGGCATACAACATGTGGGTGGGTAAATATTGGATTTGTTTTCATATATTTTATTGACTGTTGAAAATATTACAGATTAAGGTACACATTAATTTGATCAGTACATTCTTTTAAACGCACGGGTCAAAATATCCGTAAATAAAATAAATGAAAAATCGTATTTTACAATAGTTTTACTTTTTATTGAATA